CGTGAATTTTTTGTAGGGTTATATGTTACCTTGAGATTTTTTTAAATCAAATATATGAAAAAGGGTATAGGTATAGTTGAACAATCTGCAATTTTTTGTTTTTTTTTGGTATTTTTTTTTTTTATTTTGAATATACGGTTGATGTTTGAATAACATATGTAAAAAAAATATATAGCTGATAACGTTCTAAACGGACATTCACTAGCATGTAATACTACCCTATTAAAGAAAGCCGTACGGCAGAATGGTTTTTCTTAATTTTTTAGATACAACTATATTTTGGGTATTCGATTTGGACTAGGAATAAGTATGTGAGCATAACGTTAGGGTTGTCATTAGCATATGCAGTAGGAAGTTGCTCTAAAATAATCGGAAAATTCGATAAAAGCCCACGGTTTTGTACTGACCAACCTATGAGTTGTTTATATTGTATTGTGCCTTAATATATTGTTTATAGTCGTTAATTTATTAAATATTGAAAATTTTTATTGAAAACATGTATGTGTTTTATAAGTATGTACCTAATCAACGTGGGTATACTCATATATACGATAATTGCACGACCTTTGTACACAATATTGTTTCATAGAAGGTATTTTCATTTATACTCTTAATGGTATTGTTTTTTATATAACTTCATAGAAGTGTAACTTCATACTTAGGTACCTAAGCACCCACTGTCCACTATTTTTTTAATTGGCAATAGGCTCGGGTTGGAATCGTACAGCATCGTCAGCCTATTGTACAGATGTTGCACCCCCCTGCTGTAGTAAATTGATTCCTAATGTTGTTGTTTGATTACATTTAGTTGTGTCATTAAAGTATCTGAGTCATTTATAGTGCTATATCTGTTTGAAATTTCCCCCAAAAAATTCTTGAACTCTTTCGTATTGAGCTTACTCTAGTTCTTTGCTTATTTTTTTAACTCAGCTTTCTAGGTGACGTCTTCCATCATTTTCCACTCCCATGCTCCTCATGCCTCTCCACTCTTAATGTAAGCCAGTAAGTGAGGCCACCAAAAAATGTCTGAATTTCCTGGCATTCTTTGAGGACCTACTTCTTTCGCCTAAGCCGCCAAAATTTTCACCGTTCTTTTATTCAACTACGTTTTTTCTGTCTCGTACTACCTTCATTCTCTACCTCTGCCTTATCTACTCTCATATTCCTTAGTTTAGCCTTCCTATTTTTTTATCAGAGCCCCCGTTTTTACAATGACTGTTGATGCTTTGCCTGGTAGATTATCTACTTCTTTTCTCCAAGTTGTCTTATTAATTTTGCTTTCATGGCAAAAACCACCACCTCTACTGCTCTAGTTTTTCTTATCTAACGCGTCTAACTTTACATACTGACTTGGTTTTACTTCTAATTTCAGCATTCATTGCCTTATATCTTTTCCTTGTTTTCCTTTGTTAAATAAATTGCATATCTCAGCCCTATCGTCATTTATTGTGTCCTTACCATTTGCAGCGTTCTAGTAAGTATCTTCAAAAATACACATTTGCTGTGTTTGCAGTTTGGATTTTCTTAAATGTATCTGGTTTGCTCACACGATATACCATGCTCCTATTCGAAAAATTCAGCTTGCCCTGAGTCAGTGTAGTACAGTGTAGACGCATGGAATTATTGTATCTGAAGATTTAACGCTTCAGGTCCTTTTTATTAGAGTTCGTTAGGCTATATGTTGTGGCTAGGTCCTGATATTCGATTCCTTTTACGTTGCTGCGGCAGCTAAGAGAAAACGAAGGGTAGAGAGTTTGCCTGCTTTCAGTGCCCACCACGATTTATGATATTATGTTCATGGAAACACCTTTCTCTTTTTCCTCAGGTCTCTGTACCTTCTTGTTTCTGTCCAACTCGTTGAATTTTTGCGTCATAAAATAAAAGCGGATAAAATAATAAATGTGTGAAAAAAATTATTTTTTTAACTTATGTACTTACGTGATAGTTAATATGCACACCAGCACGAATAATATGTTGAACAACATTTCTCATCAGCACTCGCCATTTGTCTGCCTTGATAATAATATATATTTTAATCAGTGCCCTAGTCCTGTTGACTGCTGATCTGTTATCATCGCTGCTGGTAGATTATGACCGACAATGTCGTCTTTGATCTGATCCAGGGCCTTTCGATCTTTAACCGTCATAACTCCACAGCACTGCACTGTGTGTGCTTCTTGGCGGAATTAATTTCTAAATTAAGAAAAATAAGAAAACAATCTGACTTTTATCGTACCCCACTCTTAGCACTAAAACTGTTATGTGGAAAAGAGATTGGTAAGGAGACGCGTCACAGAATTGATTAATATTTATAACGTTAAAGATCATTATTCAAGATATCGCTTTCATAAGGCAAAGAAAGTTCCCCGAAAGCCTTTTTTTTGCTCTCTCGTTTCTTCCTTTGGCCCTTAGGCATTTTGTTACGAGATGCAAGGAGAGGACGCCTAGAGTCTCACCTATACTTCTGTACGTTACAGTCAGTTATCAATGACAGTGTACTGCCAGTTGTAAGAAAAATGATTAATAGTTTTAATAAAAAACTTTAATGCAATAAAATTTTACTACCTTCCGAAAACCGAATGTTATACCAAATATGTCCTTTTATGTCAAATAATGTGTATCGTGATGATGGAATATGGTTCAAGATTTTTCTTATTAGTGATAATGATTGTTCATCTAACTTTTTCCATGGTGTAAGCTGTTCATATTTATAATCCTTCCAAGCAACATATTCCAAACAACTCATGCAAGCTTGATCCCAAGGCAACTCTAATAATGTAAGAATTCATTGATTGAAAAAAAAAACAAGAAAAAAAAAATACAAGAATCACTTCAAATAATAATCCACATAAAAAAAATTACCTCCTGCTAGTAAAGCAGTTAAGATAATACCACAAGACCAAATGTCAGCAGGTTCTGCATTATACGGTACTTCTAAGACTTCTGGTGCTACGTAAGGTAAAGTTCCGCATTTTTTATCCAGGCGGCGTTCTTTACCTTGAAATCGATATACAGTTGCTAAGCCAAAATCAGAAACTTTTAAATTATTGTGAGCGTCAAGCAATAAATTTTCTGGTTTCAAATCTCTATGCGCAACACCTCTTTTATGTAAGTATTCAACAGCCATTATTAACTGCCTAAAATATTTCCGTGCTTCTACGAGTGGCATTCCAACGTCTGGTTCTGTATAACATAAATGTACTTAAATTTTAAAAATAGAAGGTTTACTTTTAAAAGATATGTAACAGACTCATCATACCGATCCGATCAAAAAGTTCTCCACCAGACGCGTACTCTAGAAAAATATATTCAACATTCAACTCACTGCGCTGTCCGAAATACTGAATAATATTAGGATTAGAAAGCATTCTATGAATAGTTGTCTCTTTACGAACATTACATCGTGCATCTGGATGTTTATTAAGATCAACCATTTTCATGGCTACAGCTTCCCCATTCACCTTATTTATGACCAGCCGCACTCTACAAATCAAATAAATTATCAAAACTGTATGTCAAAGTTAAAAATTTATAAANATATTTATCGTCAGGCCGTGAGCCTCCGAGATTGTCATGAGAGAGTCCAAAGCCTTGGGCTCGCTCGCCCCCTCTCTTCGGGCTCTTACAGCTTAGCGGTGCGTCAAACTGTATCAACACAAACATAGGACAGTGAAAGCCTCATTGCGTTTAACTATATTAGTTCAGTAAGTGTACGAGCTCTCTCAACCCAAATTATACCTCCGTGTACATGGCAATTGCGGCTGGCAGAATGAGTCAACACTTTTAACGGTTCGCAAACCCAGCGGAAGAGGGCATAATTCCATATACGTAGCTAATTTTAGTTAATTCGTTTTCAACATTTTGTGTGGAAATATTCATTTACAACAAATGATGATTGAAGTAAAACCGAATCAAAATACGTATAGAGATATAAATACGATATTAAAGAATTGGATTTAAATTATCATTAAAAACAAGATTTGTATTTGTGACGTACATGTAAGATAGATTGTTCTTTGCAATTTAGAACAAGTGCACATTATCTTTTAGTTTCATAAGATAGTAAATTTCCGTCCCTTATCGTCATCTAATTTTTTCTAAGATAAATACACAAAAACATAAATGCTCATAGACTGTACAGATACATAATCTCGTAAGGCTAAACGCTTTGAGCGTCAACCTTTTAAACATTAATTACGACTTCAAATTCATCAAAACTTCATGGAAGGCTTCCTTTTTAGTTTTTAACTGTCATACTAAAAACTATTTTAAGTTGTAAGAATGATTTTGGTCATTAATAAAATGCAAAAAATGTATAAAAAAATTATTAAGAATCTTATTTTGTTTCATTATATAAAATTTTATCACTTTATGTACACTGTATTTTTTTATTTTTAAATATATGTATGCCATACATATGACGTAAGTTTTACATGTAAGCCCTCAAGGTTTGCCCTCTACCACTTCTTCAGTTTATTTTACATGGCCCCTCTCTTTCTGCGTACATTTATCACTACTTGTTACGGCCGTTTACATTTAGAGCGTTTCAGGCTTGATGAGGATCAATTATCGGCTTCCATTGATCATCAATCATGTCGGATACTCGTGAGTCCTGGGCATTATGAGCACTTCAAATTATGATTGCACTGCGCCCGAGACAAGCACGCTTGCAAAAATCTCATTTAACTTGAGCGCGCCTTGTTTATGACTGAAGCTAGTTAGGACTAAATAATAAATAAAGAGTAAATCCATCGAATTAACTTTTTTTGTGTCAGTGGTTTTGCCTGGCCTACTAAATCCTGTCTCTTGCCTGGTGCTCGGCCTAGCGAGCGCAAACATCATGCTTTACTAAGCCGCCACAGCAAACGGCGTAAACACTACTTCACACCCACCTTCGATTTTCGAATAGAGCAAAACAGCTATTGTCATGAAAACTTATTTTAAAAATAATTTCATTCCATCTTCTGAAGTCTTAATATATTTGAAAATACGAACGTTGCTGCTTAGGCGCACTCAGTGATCTAATGCTAAATAAACAGTAACAACTAGTTCAATACAATACAAAATACGGCAATATCACCACATGAGTCTTAAGTAAAATGCATAAGTTGCGAAAGACGTGGTGAAAATAAAGAAGCTTCTTCACGCTCCAACTGAACTGGCAGACAAAATGCTCAGAAAAAACAGACTGGCAGAGTCTTGTACACGGAAGTATAATTTGGGTTGAGAGAGTGCAAAAGTTGTGTAGTCAGAGTCCAACACAACATCAAGCTTACTCAGTACCAACTGTAAGGGTAACTACAGTACGATGTTTGTGTTGATACAGTTTGACGCACCACTAAGTTGTAAGAGCCCGAAGAGAGGGGGCAAGCGAGCCCAAGGCTTTGGACTCTCTCATGACAATCCCGGAGGCTCACAGTCTAACGATAAATATAGATGTATATATGCATAGAGAGCGCGCGGTGGCTCAGTCGGCTAGGTCGTGGATTGGCACGCGGGAGACCGTGGTTCGATTCCCAGCCAGTGCAGTGCGACTTTTTCGGGCAAGTACCTCTGTGATTCTCACATGTGCTTTTTCACCACGCAATGCTCCTCGAGGAGGGTTTAGGCAACCTCCTCGCAGCATAAATTGCCTAATTCCCCCTACCCCCCTCCCAGTAATGGGAGGCCTCCCATCCCCTCATCCCTTCCTTTTCCCAAGTGCTAAGTGCCCATTGTAGTGCCCTTAATAAAGGAGCCGGACGTAGAGCACTCTAATATATATAAAAAAAAAAAAAGTATATATGCATAGATATAGTCAGAGAGAGGGAAAAGGTGTGCAGCGCTATACACTAATGTTGTACATATGTGCTGTTTGCATTTCTTTTTTCTTACGACGTGCAAAGCATGGACTCGCATCAGCTGCGGCCGTTTTAACTATTTACACGATGTATAGCTTGTTAATGTTTTTCTTTAAGTAGTTTATACGTATTAGTGTAATTATTAGCAATGTTAGTGATGATGGTCTTCAGTTCCGTATAATTACGAAAATTTTTTATTTTTTTGGTGATATTTACTTTTCACTTCGGCAAATGGATATTTTATATTTTAAACACCACTACTATACTTTTGAAGTGACAATAAATACACTAACGAAACAGTTACGTTGTTTTAAAATGTTACTAAATATTGAGCCTTGCGTATGTGTAAAACTTAATGGTGAAATGTATGTAGCAACTAGATATAATGTTTAATTAAATCTTTGTACGAATCATTCTTTTAATTTACAGAAATAATAACTGTATACAAAATTACTGAGGTTATTATTTTTCCTTAAAAATTTCTGTTATTTATTTAAAATAATTGTTTTTCATAATGTTAACATTAAAAAGATTATAATTTTTAGCCACGCATGTCGTTGTGGACGTAGGTATCATATACGTATTTATAGGTATTATACATACAGTTACGTAATACGTATGTGTCTGCACATCTCACACTCTTTTTCTGTCTGTGTATATATCTATATTTATCGTCAGGCCGTGAGCCTCCGAGATTGTCATGAGAGAGTCCAAAGCCTTGGGCTCGCTCGCCCCCTCTCTTCGGGCTCTTACAGCTTAGCGGTGCGTCAAACTGTATCAACACAAACATAGGACAGTGAAAGCCTCATTGCGTTAAACTATATTAGTTCAGTAAGTGTACGAGCTCTCTCAACCCAAATTATACCTCCGTGTACATGGCAATTGCGGCTGGCAGAATGAGTCAACACTTTTAACGGTTCGCAAACCCAGCGGAAGAGGGCATAATTCCATATACGTAGCTAATTTTAGTTAATTCGTTTTCAACATTTTGTGTGGAAATATTCATTTACAACAAATGATGATTGAAGTAAAACCGAATCAAAATACGTATAGAGATATAAATACGATATTAAAGAATTGGATTTAAATTATCATTAAAAACAAGATTTGTATTTGTGACGTACATGTAAGATAGATTGTTCTTTGCAATTTAGAACAAGTGCACATTATCTTTTAGTTTCATAAGATAGTAAATTTCCGTCCCTTATCGTCATCTAATTTTTTCTAAGATAAATACACAAAAACATAAATGCTCATAGACTGTACAGATACATAATCTCGTAAGGCTAAACGCTTTGAGCGTCAACCTTTTAAACATTAATTACGACTTCAAATTCATCAAAACTTCATGGAAGGCTTCCTTTTTAGTTTTTAACTGTCATACTAAAAACTATTTTAAGTTGTAAGAATGATTTTGGTCATTAATAAAATGCAAAAAATGTATAAAAAAATTATTAAGAATCTTATTTTGTTTCATTATATAAAATTTTATCACTTTATGTACACTGTATTTTTCTCATAAAAGCCACAAATAGTAAATAGAGCCATAAATTATCAGAATAAGCAAGACTTAATATTCAAAAGCAAATTTACAAACACATTTAAAAATTTCGATAAATACAATGTATAATTTTACAAGATCATTCAAGTCAGCAATGAAACATGAAAACTTTTTAAATAGTTTCGAACATTTGAAATAATAGCACCCAATTTTGAAAAAAACATTGAAAAAATGTCAAAAAGAACAGTCAAATTAAATATAGTAACTATTAGAGACAAAAAGCAATTATTTAAAAGTTCCGATTAAATACAAAACATCGAGCAATAATACTTACAGTATTATCAACGCATAATAATATCAAGTATAAAGCGATACTGCAATCACTACGAGTTGAATTGATCCCGATACTTAGAGTGATGAAATTTACAAAAAAAATAGCACAATAGTGCTTTCTTTATAATTATTTGTTACATTTCAAATTGATACAGACAGATCGTACAAAAAGAACAAGCATATTTTGTTTATGACATTTTTGCAAGATGTTATAGTGTTAGTACGCAAGTTCAAATGGCATCTCTACAAAAGGTATAAAAATATATCATATAACATACGTAATATGACATATTTTTATACACGTAATACGATTAGTCTCAAAGTTGGAATGCACGTACAATGTACATTATATATAAAATCGTACTGTATTATATAGTGGTTTTGGAGGGTCATTCAACAAAACTTGCACCACTCCTCAGCTACCCCTACAATAAGGTGGTGTTCTAACAGTTTGTACGTTATTTCGATTGGGTTGAATTTTTCATTAACCACCCTACACCCCCACTGACACCCACCGCTCGCATTTGATGAGCCCCCTCTCAGCCCTTCCTCCACTTGTTATGATCAGACTTGTTTTGAGTAACGTCTTCAACTTTTTATTGTAGTGTCATTCGTGTTGTCTCTTAGGATTCAGCTCATGAGCTTTACTTGTTTTTTTTAGTATCGTAAAAATCTTTCTGTACCTGATGTAGATAATTTTCATTAATGGATTCTTTTATTAAAACAATTCAAAATAATTTATTCTTTTAAATACAATTTACTTGGGTCAATTGAGCAAGATTCATTGTTTACATTATCATTAATAATTA